TCCCCGCCGAGCGGCTGCCCGCAGTATGGGTTGTACCCCGCCGTACAACACCCCAACGCCGGCCTCGAGCCGAACGTGAGCGCCTTCGCACAGCAGCTGTACGGAGCTAGTGATGTGTGCATCGGGAGTGAAAATACACTGGATGACGTCAGCGCTAGGGCACAATTTGACACCACCTCGTATTATCCAAACCCTAATGTTGACGACGGCGAGACCGATAGAATCGCGGCCAATTTTCTCAACCTCCAAGACAGTAATAATAACTTTGGATCGGTCGGGTTTGACGAGAATATAGGCTCCTTCGGGTCGTGCGCCTCCGCTGAGATGGCGCCGCCACCTCCGCTGCCGCCGGTGACCGATCCGGCGGCCTCGTTGTTCAGCGGTTATGTGTCCTCCCCGACATGGCCCCTGGCTGGAGAAGATGATTACACGACTCCAGGCCTCTGGGACTATGGAGATCCGTTTTTGTTCGATAGCGATATTTGAGAATTAAGTTAGGGTTTTTATTCATATGATAAATAAGCAATATTTGGAGACTATTGAAAAAATTAATGATGTTGTACTGTACTATTGTATGAACAAGTTGTGTACTATTAGCATATCGAATACTGTTGTATGAAGTACTGTTAGTATATCGATTATAAATTTTCAGACTATAAATCTTCTGTTTTCTTTTGATGCATATGGGTTTGTTCATGTTTTTATTCTTCTGGGTTTGTTCATGTTTCCTTAGGAAGAATGAACCGTGTTTCCAGTTGCTTTTTAACTCGATTGCCCTTTTCGTATTAATTTTCAGACTATAAATCTTGTATTTTCTTTTTGTTCATCTTCATGGTCGTCCAGTTTGTTATTTCACTTTGTCAAATTTATAGTTATTTCACTTTGTCAAATTTATTGCTCAAGAAGAAAATATTGTCTTGAAAGCTCAATTTTTTGAAATTTTGGATTGGGAACTGTAAGAGAACTCTAAATTATTAGATGAACATGAGATTGGGAATATTTGTATTAGTTAGCTTTTTTGTACTTGGAATAAATTGAATTTCTAAAAAGCCTAAATTGTAGAACTCGGTTGAAAATGTATTATTAGCTACATTTCTTTTTTGTTGGGAATTCTAGAAAACCCTAACTAATGTTGGACAACTATTAGAATTGGACTGAAATACGTATTAGCGTGCTTAGGAATTTCTGGAAAATCCTACATTGTAAGATAAGTATTAGAATTGGAGATAAATATTAGAATATGATGAAAACAATTAGAAATATTTTTTTAGAATTTATAAAACAACAGTATAAATATTGGAATTGGATGAAAAAAAAGTTTGAGAGTTAATAAATAATAACTATTATTGGTAAAAAAAAGTTTGATAATTTATAGAAAACTTGGATAAATATTAGAATTGATTAAACGGCTCTCTAGAAAACTCTATAAATAGTAGATGAGATAAAAATAGTTTGAGAGTTAGTCGATATACACATTGAGAGGTTTAATACAAATATTAAGGAGTGTACGCATTTTAATACTTTGATTAATTTGCCCAATTTTTAATAACATACAAAGATATCTAATTCTAACCTTTGATTCGTCAAATTTTTAATAAAATAGTGCGAGGATAGAATTTGAGTCGAACCTCTAACATCTGATTCGTCAAATTTTTAATAATATTCCAAGTTGCCGCTCCAAATGTTAAGGAGTTTGGGTTGCCGTTTGTTTTGATTCGTCGTCACATATTTTAATAATACTGCAAAGATGAAACCTTACCTGAAATTTATTCTAAATTTTTATTATTATAACTTTGTGATCAAATTTTTATTAATATTAATACGGCATATTAATAATACAGTCCATATATATAATAATATAATATAGTTTTTTTAATAATATCTAATATCCATTTTATAAAAGATTATTTTTTAAAAATATCTCATATTCATTCATATTATAAAGTATAATAGTTAAATAACCCGATCTATCATATTTTTTAATAATATCTCATATTAGAGAGTGTAAATGCATATTTATTTAGTAAAAAACATAATTATGTTTTTTTTTTTTTAAATACCATAAGTTAATGCTATAGCCTATAAGTGTTCACAAAATAAACTCCGCATTTTTTATTTTTATTTTTTTTGTCATTAGATTTGCAATTTCATCTATATAAAAATTCCAAAATAAACTCGGCTAAAAATATATATTTTTGGTCATTAGATTTGCAATTTCATTAATATTATTAGTTTAATAATAATTTTTTTTTATATATTGATATACTTGTAATTCCAAAACATAAATTAGAGTTGAAAAATACATGTTTTTATATATGGCTTGGTACATTAATTCTATCCGTTTAGGACAATCTATTATTCTCTAGATGTGTATGTGTATAGATTAAACAATCAAAACATCAAGTGAACATGACAAAATAGAAATATCAATTACTTGAGCGTATATTCAAAAATCAAAATAGCAAGTGAACATTAAAAAAATCAGAAAGAACATGCTTTAGTTCATTGATCTGATTTCATGCGGAATTGGGCTATAATGGGGGCTTTTAATGCCGATAATTCACATTCGATATGCTCTGACGATCAAATTCAATTAGGGTCATTAGTTCAAGTGTTTGGATTATCCCCTCTATATAATTTAGAAAACCTAAAATTATTTAAATTAATTAACTAAAAAGTACTTATTATATGATATAAGTTAAAAAATAATATAATATTTGACAAGTAAGTTATATACGTGATATGCGTCGTCATTTTAGATATACATAATACTATAAAAAATATTTAAAATTCAAAACAAATATTTTTAGCAAAAATACTTATGTTATAAAATAATATATTTTTATTTATATTGTTTTCTAAAATTTGTCAAGTTAAGTTAAAGGTATGTTTATCGAGTTTAAAAGTACGGGACGTTCCTGTTGAAATTATAACCGTAGATACACCATGCATGTAGATTAGTCCGTAGATAGATAGATGATCTACGATTAAAATTTTCGATTATATAACAAGACTATATATATAGTCATTCCCTAAAAAGTATCACCATCTTGAAAATAGTTTATGTTTGTATCCCAAATGATTGCTTTTATTAAAGCATTTACTATAAAACAATAAACTGTACTGACCCAATAAATGTTTATTGATTGCTTTTCATTTTTCCAAGCAGAATTACTGTACTTTTTGAATTATTGTTTTCTTATTCCACCGATATCTATGGGCCGTTTAATTGGCAGGCCTCACATTCCTAAATAAAATAAAGATCAGCTCTGTTACAATATCCTTGATGAGCCTACTTTTAGATCCATTAATATCGAAGACTTCAGCCCTTGTATTACATACTGGGCCTGAGAAGGAATCGTAAGTTCAATTATCGTGGACTATGTGAGGCCCTTTATGTACAGCCTCCCAGTCTAATCTCCCCAATCCTGTACGCTTATGTTTCCATTTTGTTGGATTTTTTATTTCGGTATGATTTGACTGTTATTATTTGACTATATTGATAAAATGCTATTGTGGTTGACTTTGAATTATGCAAGAAACGAGGGAAACGAGTGCGTGGTAGTAAGAGGAGTAGTCCCTTAAACTTAATTTCCATGTATAATGATGTGGTCAACTCGCAAGTGGTATTACATTCGAATATTTTAAGAATCGGGAGACAACGGGTGCAGTCTCACGCACATGAATAAGAATTGGGGGTAACGGGTGCGGTCGCACGCACGTGAATCGCACCACAACAGGATGAGACTTGTATTTCACACTGATTGAT